CGCCGGGTTCTCACCGGACCAGGCTCTCACATCACCAAGCGCGAAGCGCCGTGAGGTATTTGGCGAGTCGCATGAAGGGTGAGCTGCATCCTGCAAAGGGTGTTCGGCATCTTGTGCTTACTTCCTTGCGTACGTATGACAGCTACGTATGACTTAATTTATTTTCTGGTGCTTTCACTTCCAGAGACAGTTGTAAGCACTGTGTAACTGCCTCGAGGAAGCTTGACCATTTTAACACAACGTGGTGCGATCATCCCCCGTTGCGCGGAGTGAGGTTTCTCGACCCCGCACAACATGATCTACTCGACCACCATTATGGTTACCGCCAAAAAAAAAAACGAGGTAAAAAAAAAAAAAACGGTAACCTGGTTGCCGAGTTCACGAAGTGAATTGGCTTGTTTTACAACGTCGTTGCCAAGCGACGAAAACCCAGAACCCCGATGGCAACCACCGGGGGGGGGCGGCTTGTTTTACAACGTCGTTTCCAAGCGACGAAAACCCAACCCCGATGGCAAACACCGGGGGGGGGGACGGTAAAATGTATCCCGAGGGATGCCAGGAAACCCTCGACTTCATTGTATCAATGTTTGCTCTCGGAACTGTTCGGGAGGGGGGGGGGGGGGGGGGGGCAAAGACAAGAAGCAAAACAAAAACGTACCGGAGAGACCGGCCTTGGCCCTGTCCGCAACGTGCCCCACGCCGAGAGCCTTGACGAGGGCGTCCACGGCGCTCTTGGCCTCCCCTGCCGCCTCCAAGTCAGCCGTCTCGTCCGCGGCACGCTTGAGGGCCGGCAACAGCATGGGGATGAAGGGAGCCACGTCCTCTGCCTCCGTAACCAGGCGGCACATGTTGCCAATCACCTGGTGGGACGGACGGACGGAACGTTGTGATATTTTTTTTTGGGTCAAAAAATGGTCAAAAAGGACACGGCGAACTGATTTTTTGTGTTTACGCACAAGCCTCTTTCTTGAGATGGAACAAACGAGTCGCCGTCGGTCATGCCAGATATTACCCCCTGCCCCCCTAGCTCCACTTCTCCCCAGCAAAAAGAGCGTTGAAACCACCGTTTCGTCGAGCATCCTCCGAAAACGTGTCGTTTGGTACTTACACATCTTCGTGAACAAGTCGAGCTCTGAGAATTGGTGGTCCAGGGGGGGGGGGGGGTTAGTGTCTTGCGTCATCTACTGCTATTGCTGCCTGTAGCGCAAAAATGTGTCCACCCACCATGCCGGCCTTGCGGTGCATGTTGCTCTGTCGAGTCTTGAGGCACTTGCTAAGGAGGGGAGCGATCACCGAGAGCGTCGCGCGGTCCACCCTGGTGACGAAGGTCGTGGCCAGGAGGGCGTCGAGGGTGCTCTCCGTCTCCGCCGGCTTGGCGATGACCCTCACCAATCGGTCAACCTGCAGCAACACATTTCGAAAAATCAACGAAAAAAGAAAAAAAAAAATGAGACGCATAGAATAAACCACAAGCGTGAACGACATTTCGCGGCACAGACGGACAGGATGGAAACAGGTGACCAGGTGACCTCCTGGTTCTTAGTGCGGAAGAGCGATTGATCCTTTGCTTCAAAACAATGCCGACCAAGGCGCTTGTGCGAGCTGCAATCCTTCCCGCCTTCCCTCCCAAAAATTCTGCCTGCCACCGACAAGCGCTCAATGTTGCTCCCGCGTGTGTTTGCGAGAGCCCATGACGAGAACACCCCGTGTGGAAACATGGCAAAAAAAAAACACCAAACGTGGAATTCTTGTCTGCACCACCGAATATGAGGGGGTGGGTGGCAGCATCGAGCTCTCTCTACCTACAAACTTGCTGATGAAGCGACATCATTTTTTTTTCTCACCAGAGGCTCAATGTCCGGGTTGCCGATGCAGGCACACGCCGCCAGCAGCGCGTGCTTCGAGGCGGCCTGCACCTCCCTCTTGGTATCCCACACCTGGTGCGACACCACGGGCACGATCTCGGGCAGCGCCAGCGCCACCTGCTGCGGCGAGCTCTCCGCCATCACGGCCATCACCTCCAGCGCGCCCGCCTTTATCCTCCAGGTGTCGTTGGCCACCGCCTCCGTGATCATCGGCAGGGCCACCCTCACGGCGTGCGGGTTAAGGGTCCGGGCCACCGCGGCGCCGGCGTCGGCGGCGGCGGCGCGCACCTGCGCCGCCTGCGCCCCATTGGCCTGCAGCACCAGCGGCAGCAGCGCCACCACGTACGGCTCCCCGCCGGGCCCGGCGAGCTCGCAGATGGCGTGGATCGCCAGGAGGGCTCCCTCCCGGGCGGCCGGCGCGTTCCCCTCGGGGAGGAACTCGCGGAGCTGGGCCTCGACCCAGGGGGCCTCGGCGTTCGAAGCGGCGATCGACTTGGCGACCGCGACGGCTGCTCTTCGTCGAGCAGACGCGTCGCCGGCCTCCCCCAGGCACCCGCAGTGCTCCGCCAGGCTCTGGAG